ATTCCCTATTTCCCAGGTATGTGAAGTAGGGCAGCAGTTCTGCCTGTTGGGCCTTTTCATGGGCATTGGAATAGACAGGACCTGTGATTCCTCAGAGATGAGAGGTGAGTTCCCACATTCACAGGACACAGGGCAAGCAGCTTGTCTCTGGTGACCAGCCTCCATCATGGCTTCCGTCTCTCCCGGGCGTCTCCCCGCAACGTTCCCCAGGAGGCCTGGCCGGGCATCAGGGTGGCTGCAGGTGCCTTCCAGTGGTTTAGGAATGGCTCAGGGAGACAGACTACTTGCCTGGGACCCTGGGGGACCTTCAGCTGCCCTGAGGAAAAGGTCCACCTGCAGGAGCCACGGGAGGCTCGTAGAAGTTAGTGGATGCGGTAGGCTCTGGAAAACCTAAAGCTCTATGCAGATGTACAGGACGACTATTTCATCTGAGAAAATGTGCTTTGTGGTGAGATTTTTAAGACCTAACCAGGATCCCTGCTCCTGTGCACCTTCTTTGGAAAGCATGAAGGAGATGCCATTTTCCTGGATTTCAGTGTCATGCGCCACCTTGACCTCTGTCCAGGGTCATGTCCTGACCCTGCTCCCCACAATGGCTTCCTCCCCAGCGCCCTGGGTGAGCTGCCTGGCTGCTCTCCGCTCGGCAGATCTGTGTAGACCACAGAGGGCCACTGGCTCCAGGAGCCATCTATGTCCTTGCAGGCAGTGTCCCTGACCCTCCTGACCCTTGACCTTTGAGAGGATGCACTACTGAGGCCTGCAAGGTCTCCTCATGGTGGTCCAGGGTCCTGGGGGAAGGGGCATGCAAACACTGCCTGCCTCTGAGGCTCAAAAACACTTGCAGCGAGAACCCGTATTCCAGCATCTTCCATTGGTAAGGGAGGTTGGCTTCTACCGTGAGCCACAGAGTCCCGCATGGAGCGGGGGTCTCTGGCCTCTGGGAGCTGATGCTCTTGGAGTGGGAGGACATAGATGCTTCAGGATCCCTTAGTGCTTCAGGATTCTAGAGTCTCTTAGAAATTCCAAGCCAAGGCTTGGAGTGCCTCAGCTGATGGCACAGTGGAGGTTCTGGCAGAATGGGCAGCACACATGTGTCATGTCCCCTGGTCTGGAAGGCTTATAGTCAGTGTCTGAGTCTCACTGCTGTCCCCTGTTCGTCATCCAACACTGAGAAAAATCAAACTGGGCCATTTGCCCACTTGCTGCCCTCCCCACTGCCGAGTCCCTGGGCAAGGAGGCCTTGGAGGGGGTGGCTGTGTCACCAAATATCTGCTTCCCTGGCGACAGGAGAGAGGTCTGCGGGCCCTGCTGATCTCCTGTGTGCTTCCCCAGCTAACCAGGAGATGCTTCAGAAGGTTGAAGTCGAATATGAAACACTGCCTGGCTGGAAAGCAGACACCACAGGCGCCAGGAGATGGGAGGATCTGCCCCCGCAGGCCCAGAACTACATCCGCTTTGTGGAGAATCACGTGGGAGTCGCAGGTGAGTGCCTTGCCTCCCCAGCCACCCTCCCTGCACCCTGGATGCTCCAAGGGGCCCACAGGGCGCAGGGCTTGGCAAGCAACAAGAAAACCAAGTGTGGTCACCAAGTGAATATACCAGATGGCAAGAGGGGAGGAGGACTCGGGGCAGTGCTGCTCCCGGGTAGGGTGTGGGTATGACCTTGCCAGGAACCCTGGCCTCTTAGCATCCAGAACCACAGGTGGGACACAGCCTGGCCATTTGAGTGTATCATACGTGTTTACTCTCACAGGCCAGGGGCATTTGCACCGACAGAGAAAGGGCCTGCAAGAGTCACTAAGTAACTAAGGCTGCCATTTCCAAGGGGCAGGAGGGAGGGAGAAGGGAAGAGACTCCTGTTTTTGGCTACAGGAGGATCCCACATCTGCTACCTTCATAACTTAAAAATGAGAAGCATCTCCATCTGGAGAGAAATAGCCCCTTCTACCAGATGAACTGCAGAGACAGACATGACACTCAAGAACATCTCTGAGCTTTCTGCACCAGTGTGCATCGTAACAGTCTTTTTCGCTCTTTCAGTCAAATGGGTTGGTGTTGGCAAGTCAAGAGAGTCAATGATTCAGCTGTTTTAGTCACAGACAGCTGATCCCAACTGTCCCTGGCAGCATCTGGACTTGTGTAAACAGTGGCAATCACGTTCCTCGGCCGTCACAACCAACACCAAAGCAGGAAAACCATTTTCTGAACTTTTAGATTTCTGTTCAACCTGGTGGTTTCTACAATGATTTTAAACATTGGAAAGCCAGCCTTGTGTATATTTTTTTAAATTCTGCTATTTAAAATGAGCCAAAGTACTCAAAGCAGAGACCTTCTATGACACGTTAGTGTCACATGGTTGCGTGTCCAGCCGGAGCAGTGTCCCACTAATAAACATCTCCAATGGCCACCGAATGAAGTGGTCATTACATGATTGATTTGCCTTTGTCTTTATTGCTTTCACTGAAATATAACACTTCACCATGACAGCAATCTGGAGGATCTTGAGGTCACAAAGCCAAGCCTTGTGTTAACTTGGAAAGTTAAATAGAACAAGCCCATAAAAGAGACCAAGTGCATTAAATATGTTTTTAAAAACTAAACACATTAAGCAAATGACACTGTAGTGCTGTTACCTGGGCAGGACCCACCTGGGTTAACCCGGAGCTGACTCCTTGTCCCCCACGATGATGGAGCCCTGCCAGCAACCCCTCTTCATTCTAGTTGGACACACTTGGTCATCACCCTCAGAATTTCATTTGATTGGCTACACCGCATCTTAACTGACCACAGCTGCATAGAGCTGACGGTGGCCAGTGCTCACCAGAACGCCGCGTAGTCTCCTTAAGTATCTTCTCAGAGACTGGAGTAAGTTTAGAGAAACAGCTGCCCTTCCAGCATCCTTTCAAAGACAGGGGATCCTACAGAGAGACCAGTCTGGCGGGGTTAAGTTCAACAGGCAGTGGCCCAGCAGCAGAGCTGGGTTATGAGATTCCTGTGACTCCAGGGATGCAAGCAAACTTTTTGAGACAGTGCCAAGAACGGCCCTCAGTGAGGTGAGCGACAGGAAGCACACTGCAACTGCACGGCCCTGCCCCAGGCCACGGGCACTTCCGAGTCTCAGCAACACAGTCACCTTTCATGACATAGCAAGCGGAACAAAGGGGGAGCCCCCGAGGCAGGGTAAGCTCCTGGGGAGAGGGGCTGAGGGCTTTCTCCTCTCTGCCCTCACATCTACACAGGGCCCTCTCAGTCAAATCATTTAAATTGAAATTTGAGGGCTTCAAAATAGGTTTTCAAACCTCTGTTCTGTAGTAGCTGCTAACTCTTCCACTGGAACACAAGTTGTCATCGTTTCCCTTCCATCTCAGGATGGAAGCCCGGCAGGCAGTGCCGCGGGGCGTCTGCGGGAATTTCACGGGGTAAGCAGACACCAGCGCAGAGGGGAAGTACTTCTCCCTAGCATCAATTCAGTCACTTCCACGTGGACCAGAGACAAGAGGCTCTGGCTCTGAGCACTGCGTCGGTGCAGTCAGCCAGGCCAATAATTCGGGTTTCGCCCACGCACGCGGCCTGGGGGACAGCCCCGCTCCACAAACTGCCCGGTGTTCCGCCTCTGAACACGATGCTGATGAGAAGGGCAGTTTCCAGTGTGAACACAGGAAGGCAGCAGATCACACTGCCACGTGTGTGCCTACGCAACAATCTTGCATGTTCTTCACATGTACCCCAAAACCGAAAATGCAATAAAATAAATTAAAAAAAAAAAAATCCTCACGACCTGAAACATTTGAAACAATCCTCCTCTTCATCTATTTCCGGGATAAACCAAATGTGTGTTTGGTCAGAAGTGACTCCAACTGAGCAACTTTCAAGTCATTTCCCTAAAACAACAAATTCGACGTGGCCAGGAAGAGCCAAGAACGCCGGATCCCGTCCTGACACGGCCTCCCGTCCCCCGCCGCAGGGAACCCCGCGTGGCAGGAGAAGGCAAAGGACCTCGGACCCGGAGGCCGGCGCCCGTGGCCAGGAGGGAGTGCGCTGCCTCCGAGGGGGTCTGCGCAGCTGCGACGCGGGTGTCACGCGGGGCGGGTGTCACGCGGGGCGGGTGTCACGCGGGGCGGGTGTCACGCGGGGCGGGTGTCACGCGGGGCGGGTGTCACGCGGGGCGGGTGTGCAGGGCTCCAGGCGTCAGCTCCTCACCCCGGAGGCGGCGCAGACGGAGCCGCGAGAACACAGCCCAGCGCGAAGCCCACGCCACGGGACGCGGCGGTTCTGCACCCGCCGGGGCAGCGCAGAGCAGAGCGGCCTGTGGTGAGCGGAACCCCGGACAAGGGACAACGCGGGTGCACCGCGCGGCCTGGGCACCCCGAGTCGGACGGACCCGCTGTGCAAGAACATTTTCCACACAGCGGAGCACACAACCAGCGCCCGGGAGCGCTCGGCAGCCGCGCGCGGCCCTCGGGGCGCAGCCCCCTCACGCCTGTACTTCCGGAAGGCGGGGACCGCCACGGCGAGCGGCGGGACCAGCCGGGGCCACACCGTGAGACCCCGCTCCTACCCAAAACCAAAAGTCAGCCGGGCGCGCCTGCGGGCCCAGCTACCGGGAGGCCGAGGCGGGAGGATCGCCTGAGCCCGGAGGGCGGAGGCTGCAGTGAGCCGAGACTTTGCCACCGCACTCCAGTCTGGGTGACAGAGCGAGACCCAGTCTCTAAAAGGAAAAAACTAGAAAAAAGCGGGCCGCCCCGAACTTGGGGGAAGCAAATGAGGACATATAACCAGTGTCCACCTGTTTAGTTACCAAACAAAAGCGGACAGGAATCCCGCCACCTACCCGGCCCGCCCCGACGTCGCTCTGGCCTATCCTGCGCCGTTCCTCAAACCGGACCCGCCCCCGACGTCGCCCTGGCCTATCCCACGCCGATCCTCAAACGAGGCCTGCCCCCGATGCAGAAGCTCCGCCCCTTACTGTCTCCGACTTCGCGGCTCTGTCCTGACCCTCAGCCTCTCCCGCTGGCTCTTCCCGCACGGCAAAATCCCGCCCCTGACCTGTCTCCCAGGCTACCTCGCTTCGCGCCGCACAGGAACCCCGCCCCTAGTCTCTCCTCCCGCCTATCCTGAGCCGCGTGCGCACAAATCCCTCCTACGGACCCGCCCACTCTGAGCCTCAACCTGGCCCCTGGGCCTTTCCCGCGCCGCGCAGTCATGATCACCGACGCACGAGTCCCACCCCCGATCTCACCCTCGGCCTATCCCGCGCCGCTCTGCGCAGGAGCCCCGCCTCCTACCTCGCCCGCAGCCTATCACGCGCTGCGTCGCTCTCTCGCCCTCAAATTCGCTCACGTCCGCGGATGGGCGCGCGGCTGTGACGTCACGGCGTCGGCGGTAGGGGGCTGGCGGCGGCGGAGCTGCGTAGCTCCCGGCCCGTGGCGATGCCCAAGCGGGGCTGCCCCTTCGGGGACGCGGCCCCGCTACAGCTCAAAGTGCGCGTGGGCCAGAGGGAGCTGAGCCGCGGCGTGTGCGCTGAGCGCTACTCGCAGGAGGTCTTCGGTGAGTGCCGGGCGGACTGCTGAGGGTCCGCTGCGTCGGGCCTGGAACGGTCCTGGCCTCAGCGTCCCGTCTGAGGCTTGAGCGGGGGTCCCGAGGGCCCTGCTTCCCGGCCCCGCGCTCTCGGAAGCTGGGAGGCCCCGGGGACACAAGCTGCCCACGACCAGGGCTGGGTCGGTGAGGGGGACGTGAGGACCTCAGCGTTCACCCACCCTGTCCATCGGCCTGAGAGTACAGTAAAGGGTCTCTGTCCTGAGCCACCGCGCCCTTCTCCGCGAGCCCGGTTAGTCGCCGCCCCGCAGTCAGCGGCACCTGCCTGGCGCTTCCTCAGGACTGCCCCGTGCTGGATGCCCTGGGAGAGGCGCCCCCCACCTCCTGCCAGACGCTGCGGCTGCCCCGGGAGACCAGAGGCAGACAAGACAGATGTGCCCCGGTCTCCCGAGCTCCCCAGCCTAGTGGGGGAGACCAGCAGGAGAAGGACTCACCACAGGTGATCAGGACAGGCGCACCTGCAGGGATGGCACAGAAGTCCTCTTGGAAGAACAGTCTGAGCCGCATCCTGTGGGAAGAGTAGGTGTTAGCCAGGCAGAGGGGTCAGCCGAGGCAGAGACCAGGCAGGAGAGCGAAACAGGACTCCGTATGGCTGGCATATCCAGCTCTGGGTGGGATGGGAGGGCAGTGAGCTCCCAGGCCTTCTCTGGTTTTCTCCTGTAGATTTCAGGCGTGTTCAAGGCGTTCTTGATCATCAAGAAAAATGATCTTAATGGTCAGTGATCATTAATCACTAGGGTGATTAACACCCTGGGGCAGGTACGAAGTGGCGCTTACCTTGCCTAGTGTTTGGGGCACAAGGTCTGCCCCTGTAGAGCAGTTAGAGAGTGACTGGAGGCGTGTGATTTTCGTGGTACTGCTTGTGCTCTGGAGGTGAGGGAAGGACTTCCCCTCCTGAGGCTCCTCTGTGCCTTGTCGCAGGTGTGCTGCGGCTGTGAATGCAAGTGCTGTCTCCGGCCATGCGGAGGTAGGGGGAATAATGCAGTGGGAACTGTGGCTGGACCACAAGTGTGTGCCCTCTCTCAGGACAGTTGAAAAATTCAAACTGTGTAGGCAAGAGGAAGATGGAAATGGGGCCTGGGTCAGTCTAGCTCTTTACTCTCCCAAGTGCCATGACCGGGGCATTGGCAGATGTGTGCCACTCACAGGGTCGGGTTAGGGAGGGCTGCTGGGTGCAGTGAGCCTTCCATGGCAAGTGCAGGACACATACTTTGAACTGTGTGTCAATTTCCAAATTCCAGGCCACAGCTGTCACCCTGATCTCTTAACCTTGAATCATCCACAAGGCCTTGAGGACAAGGGGTTAGCCTCACCACCTCCCATTCCCTTCTCATTATAGATGGGAAAGGTGTGGGGGGCCAGGAGGAGGAGGTGCAGGGTGCTGTGGGCTGTAATCGGCCACTCCATTTGAGTTACCCTGTCACTATTATTGCTGCCCATTTCATGTAGAGCCACGTAGAGTTTCTGGGATCTCTGCCTTTAACTGTGTTACGATGAGGTGGAAAACAAAAAAACAAGGCATTTCTGGGTCTGGCCCTGGGCATCTGAGTTTTCGAAGCTCCAGAGGTGACTGAACTGTGGCCTGATGGAAAACCACTGCTCTGGATCCTGAGCAGCCACTTCAGCTCCCAGGGATGCATGTGTGTTCTACACCAAGAGGTCTGGAAGGTTCTGGGATGCTTGTCTTGCCAGCAACTCTGTAGCAGGTGAGGAGGGTGTGTGCTGGCTGGAGGCTGCAGGCTCAGCTCGGAACCTCTGGCTGCTTCCTAGGCAGGGGGCAAGATTTGTGAATTAGTGTTCCACAGTGCAGAGCTTCCTCTGTGCATTCCACAGAGACTGCTTTCCGGGTGGGGAGTGCTGGGGAAGTAGGAAAGGGAGAAGGGGGAACAAGCTCAGTGAGGCAAGGCCGGCTGTGAATTGCAGAAAATGAGCAGAGCGGTAGAAAAGTGAACGCTTGTATCGGACACACGTGGGGCTGCAGGGCCAGAGTCTTCTGGAGTAGATGACAGCCAAGCCAGGTAAGGAAGGGAGGCACGAGCATTCTCAGTGTAGAGGCAGAGCAAGACCCAGCTTGCCAGGACACAGCATGGATTACTGGGTGACAGAGGGCACACAGTAGGATGAAGGGGTCCATGTGAGGCTGGAAAGACTCAGTGGCCATGCAGAGGCTCCGTTGGTACACAGTGAAGGACGTGAGAATGATTTGTCTTCCCCTAGAGAAGACCAAGCGACTGCTCTTCCTCGGGGCCCAGGCCTACCTGGACCATGTATGGGATGAAGGCTGTGCCGTTGTTCACCTACCAGAGTCCCCAAAGCCTGGCCCTGCAGGGGCCCCGAGGGCTGCACGTGGGCAGATGCTGATTGGACCAGATGGCCGCCTGATCAGGAGCCTTGGGCAGGCCTCTGAAGCTGGTGAGTGGCACTGGCAGCCCTTCGTGGCTGTGGCACTGAGGGCAGGTGGCAGCATAAGCATTTTTTCTTCATTTGCAAGCTCAGGCTTTTCCTCCCTGGGCAAGCAGGAGTCTGACCCAGAGCTTGGCCTTCTGGCTCAGAAGGTTCCTGTTATTGGGAGGTTTCACATCCAAGACTGGAAGTTGTTAAACAGCTTCTAACTACTGGACCAGAACAGCAGCAGACTCCCCGGGTGTCGCGTCTGTTTTTGCCTACAGCCCTCTCAGATAGTCCCACGTGGCTGGAAACACGCCGGTCCCATCCCTGTGCAGTGTGGGTCTCACACCATCACCTGTGTTGCCTGTTAGAAAGGCAGTCCCCAACCCTGCCTGCAAGTCTGCTTGGTATGTCCGGGAGGAGCCCAGGCACCTCTTTGTCAACCAGTGAGGCAGTGGGCCACACTGAGACCCAGATGGGATGCATGGCATTCTGACAGGAACAGGGGAAGAGCGATCCTTCCAGCACTGGCCTCTCCAGGTAGCAGAGGGACCTGGTAAGGGAAGGAGTACTGAACTTGGAGTCACCTACAGGCATCTCTCACCGTGGATCTCTCTCTAGTAAAATGGGGGTCCTGTGTGCTGTACCAGGCTCATGGGTTGTCGGAAGGATCTAATGTAGGTGGGGATGGGGTAGGCAGGTCGGAGCCCTCTGCCCTCAAGTGTGCGTGGAGGCAGGTAGCCCTGCAGTCCCAGAATCTCCAGTCTCCTTCCAGGCTGACAGCATGGCATTTCATCCTCACAGACCCATCCGGGGTAGCGTCCATCGCCTGCTCCTCATGTGTGCGAGCCGTGGATGGGAAGGCGATCTGCGGCCAGTGTGAGCGAGCCCTGTGTGGGCGGTGTGTGCGCACCTGCTGGGGCTGTGGCGCTGTGGCTTGTACCCTGTGTGGCCTCGTGGAGTAAGTACTTCAGTCCCTGGAGCTGCTGAGATCCTATAGCCCCAGCAAGCCATGACAGGGGGTGAGTGGGTCACCCATGTGGGGAAGGGCCCAGAGCACCCACATGTTTGGCCCCTGACCAAGTGCCATCGGGCATTGCCTAACAGGACATGGTAGCAATAGATGCTTGGCCCAACCTTAGTGGCTAGTAATCCTCTCTAAGGGAAAGCCGGACCTCACAGATGACCTGCTCTGTATCTGGCTCTGGTCCCTGTCTTCAGCCACTTCCTGTCCTGGTCTTTGAGCTGCCCCCGGAACCCCTTTAGGACTTAGCAAGCCAGCACCTTCTCATAGGCATTCTTCCTGAATAATGGCTCACCGTCCATTGGTTGTCACTGGTTGGTGACAGCAGGTACACACTGCCGCTCACCACAGTCACGTGTGCTGTTTGGCTATGGGTGCCCTCAGGCAGGAAGTGGAGTATTTGCATAGTCTCCCATTTGTGGGTGGGTTTGCTGCAGCTGGCTGGATCCTGTCCTTACTCCTAAGGTGGGGAGGGGCGTTCTTAGCCCCTGGGCTACTGGTAGGTGGGAGTGGACAGTGGGAGCCTGTTTGCTCTGCCCCGTGAGAAAGATTACTTGATCCAGACACATGTGCAACTGGCTCTGTAGACCCAAAGCAAGCTTAGTCCCAACAATGTCTGAAATTGTCCATCTAAAATAGAAACCACGTGTCACATCTCGAGTCTTTTCTCTTGAGTCTTTCTTCAGTTGGGGCAGAGGCCCAGACTCACTGGAGACACAGAGCCCTGGGCAGGGGTGAGCAGCACTAGGGGGAAGCACCTCGTGCCTGTGGTCAGTTCCCATGGCTTCAGTATGGACAGGAGTGGGGAACATACCCCATCCAGGTTGGGAATCATCTGCAGGGCTAGCTATGAATGTGGGATACTCTGTCTTTGCCTTTCACCCACTGAATTCCCCTTCTTTTCTACTTCTGTGTAAACTGAAAAGGGCAGGGTCATCTCAGTGTCTGGTGGCCCTCTCACCAAGGCAGAATTGAACACAGCATGGACAGTTCAGCGGAGAGGTGGGTCCCAGAGCCCCACGTGGCTGGGCATCCTCTTGCCCTGCACACCACCCTTGAGGGACTCCCTCATGCGTGTTTCCTCTGGCCTCTGCCTACTTTCTGCGCTTTCTTCCCCTCATACCCGTAGAGTTCACAAAGAGCTGCCTCAGTGGACCACTGTCCCCACCGTGGACACACTCCTTTATCAGCCACAGCACAGGAGGTGGGCTCTGCCCACTTTCACGAATAAATCACTTGTTCCAGGTCACAAGTCAGAAGTGGCATTCCGAGGTCCGGCTGCCTGGCCTGTGGCGCCCGCAGTCTTGTACCCACTCTCCTGCCATCTTCTGGTTCAGGACCAGGAGTCACGTGAGTGGCAGAAAACAAGGATCTGTTCACATGGCTTTGGCTTAACACAGACGCAGCCCAGCAGCCATCGGCATCCCGCCTGCACTGGCCCACGCCTGACCTGTCCTCTGCAGGGCTCTCCAGCTGGCTGCTGGTGGCAGGGAGGGGCTGTCATCACGGCTCACACATAGCACTGCTGGCAAACTCCGCAACACCAGGTGGCAAGCAGTTCTGGCTGCCTTGGTGACTACATGGTCCTTTTGTATTTGACGTAGCCGTTGCCAATCTTGTTTCCTTGAAGCATCTCTCCTAGTCAGTTTCTCCCTGTGCTGTGCGGGGTTCTGTGGCCTTTACCCTTAGAGCTTTTTTTTTTTTGAGACAGAGTCTCGCTTTGTCACCCAGGCTGGAGTGCAGTGGTGCAGCCTCAGCTCATTGCAACCTCCACCTCCCAGGTTCAAGCAATTCTGTCTCAGCCTTCCAAGTAGCTGGGATTACAGGCATACACCACCTTGCCCAGCTAATTTTTGTATTTTTAGTAGAGACGGGGTTTTGCCATGTTGGCCAGGGAACTCCCAACCTCAGGTGATCCTCCAGCTTCAGCCTCCCAGTGCTGAGGTTACAGGTGTGAGCTACCATGCCCAGCCCTACCCTTAGAGTCTTGATACATCAGAATAAAAAAGCGTCAGAAGAAAAGCACTGTTTGATGTGCCTCAGTGGTTCGGTGAGTTCTGGCAGGTCATCTGGAGGTGTCTTTGGAGAGCTTCTATCCTACTGGAAACCCAGGTTGGGCCCCTTACGGGTTCATCGGCAGTGGGCATCAGCTAGGGCTGCTGTAACCGAGTTCCACAGAACGGGTGGCTTAGCAGAGAGGTACTGTCACGTGGTTTTGGAGGCCAGAGGTCTGAGAGGAAGGTGTTGGCAGGGCTGGCTCCTTCTGAGGCTGCAGTGGGAAACCTGTCCCGGGCCTGTCTCCTGAGGTCTGCTGGTTGTCCTCGGTGTTCCCTGTAGACAGCCCCCCGCCCCCCGGTATCGTGTCTTCTTTCTCTGTCTTTCTCTTCACGTGGTAGTGTTTTTAGGATGCTGGTCATGTTGCATTAGGGCCCCTATGTCAGCGCCATCATCTAGACGGATTATGCCTGTGGTGGTCCTGTCACCAGACAAGGTCATGTCCTGAGGAGTCCTGGGTTAGAACTTTGACGTTTGAATGGGGTGGGGGATGGACACAATTCAGCCCCTGACAACAGCTTTTCTCTCCCCTCCCTGGCGCTGTCGCAGCTGCAGTGACATGTATGAGAAAGTGCTGTGCACCAGCTGTGCCATGTTCGAGACCTGAGGCTGGCTCAAGCCGGCTGCCTTCACTGAGAGCCACGCCATGCACGGCAGCCTTCCCTGGACGCACGCTTGGTGTTCACACTGAACTGTGGGGTGAGCGGGAGGGATGCCTTTTACATGTTCTATTTTGTACTCCTAATGACAGAATGAATAAACCTCTTTATATTTGCACAAGAGGACTCTGTGTCAGCACTTTTGAGGGTGGAGTTTGTGACCCACCACCTGCTGGAGGACATCCACCTGGTAGGGCCCAAAGGGCAGTCGGTGAGGCCTGCTACCCCTGCTGTCTACCTGCCAGCTCCTAGAGACCCCACTGTGTATCACGTGAGGCCCCTCATTCGATCCACTCTACAGATGGGAAGGCTCAGCCCACAACACACTCCTCCCCAGCTCGCCCAGCGGTAAATGGGGAGAAAGGACCCAGGTCTGGCTCCAGGGTGCACAGCCAGTGTACTACACACTCTCGGACAGAGGTGACGTTTCCACACCATACCCAGATGCCACTGTCATGCACGCCTGATCCATCACATCGTGGTGTCCACTCTGCCTGTTTGGCGGCTGTATGGTCAGGCCCCTGCCCTCCAGGAGCTTTGGTCTAGCAGGGGAGGTGGCCCCAGCCGTGCTCCCTCTGGAGTCAGTGTAGCTTGTGTGGGGCCTTGAAGGAAGAGGAGTTGACAGGATAGGGGGCGGCCTGGAGGACGGAAGAGGGCAGGCTGCTTGAGTGCTGGGTCCCCACATGAGTCCACTGAGGGATCCCAGCCCTCTCAGGGAGCCACGGCCCCTGTGAAAAGCTCTGGCCTAGAGTAAAGGCTGTTTGGGGCAGAGGGCAGGTGGGAACGTGTGCTGGGGAGAGTTGAGAAGAGCCTTTGGTGTTCCTGGGAAGCACATGGAGGGGCAAATGATGCTGATTCTTAGCGAAAAATCAGTGGTGCCCAGGTGAAGGGTTGGAGCCAGGCCCAGAGTGGGATTTGCTGCTCTGGGGCCGAGGGTATACCACGCCCATGTGATGGGTAGAGGGGTCCTCAGAGAGGCGGTCAGCATGGTTAAGTTCCAGGGGGCAGCTTAGAAGGGATTGCAGAGGACTGGCCGGGGTCTTCCTGCACTGAGAACCTCCTTGACCACCCCCACTCTGTTACCAAGAGTGCAGCAGCTGACAGGTACTTTGTGCTGGGAGCACCAGCAGCAAGTGGCCGCGGTCAGCCATGTGCTGACTCCTTCCAGGTGTCCACAACAGACCGCCACCCAAGCCCTCATTTCTGTTACTACTATTACCGTCCCCTCGGGCCTGTCGGCTCTTCCCTTCACATCCTCTGGCCGCATCCCTGCCAGGGACCACAGTGCTCAGGCCAGCCTGCCTCCTTCCCCTTTAGGGTCCCTACATAGCACTACTTGGACCCCTGCTTCTGCCCTGCACCTGGCAGCCTGCTCTTACACAGCAGCCAGATCTGTCACTCCCCTGTCCCAACACTCCAGTGACTAAGCATGTCCTGTGGCCCCATAGCCTCTGGCTTCACCACTTCTCCCCCATCCCAAGGGCTGCTCTGCCCCAGCCAGGCCTTCCTGCTGTTCCAAGAATGCGCAGCGTGTTTCTCCTGCACACTGCTCACTCCCTCTGCCTGGGGAGCTCTTCCTCTGGATGTCCGTAGAGCTCCCCCGGGTTCAGCTCAGAGAAGCATCCCAGCACCCTAATGTGTAAGACGGCCCTTCCTTCACTGCCCCTCTTGCTCTACCTGACTTTTACCACTGGATATAATGCATATTTAAGCAAATATGCAAATGTACTTATTCTCTGTACTAACTGAGATACCGCTTCTGTGAGGGATGGAGCTTTGCCCAAAGCAGTACCTGCCATATATGTTTGCAGTAAATATTTGTTGCTCTTCCAGCTGTGGCGGAGCAACGAAAACTGGCCATAGATGACTAAAGAAAAAAAAAAGGACAAAATATGCAGACGTCAGACAGCAGCCAGTGCAGGATAGTAATGTCTGAGACGGAACAGATGCCCGGAGCCCAGGGCAGCTGGAGTGCTGGACTAGCAACTGCCTCAGTGTCCCTTCAAGGTCCCTGCTCAGGACTGATGGCTCCTGTGTGTGACGAAACTGGAAGAAAGCAGGAAGCAAGTCACATTCCCAGCAGTAAGTGTGGAGAAACATCATTCATGGGAACAGGGTAGAGTACTCAAAAGGATATTAATGCCATATCCAGGCTAGATTAGCTCTAGACTAGAGACTGCCCTGTGCCTTCCTAACAACTCTAAGTCAAGCCTCAAAAAGACCAAATGCTTGCAGGTACTTTAATAGCATCCAGAACAAAACTCAAAAGTAGGCCGGGCGCGGTGGCTCAAGCCTGTAATCCCAGCACTTTGGGAGGCCGAGGCGGGTGGATCACAAGGTCAAGAGATCAAGACCATCCTGGTCAACATGGTGAAACCCCGTCTCTACTAAAACTACAAAAAATTAGCTGGGCATGGTGGCGCGTGCCTGTAGTCCCAGCTACTCAGGAGGCTGAGGCAGGAGAATTGCTTGAACCCAGGAGGCGGAGGTTGCGGTGAGCCGAGATCGTGCCATTGCACTCCAGCCTGGGTAACAAGAGCAAAACTCTGTCTCAAAAAAAAAAAAAAAAAAAACTCAAAAGTAAGGGAAAAACATTTGGTTTTGTCTTTTTTAGAACAAGCATGAGGCCAGTGTCAGTGGATCACGCATGTAATCCAACCACTATGGGAGGCTGAGGCGGGCAGATCAGTTGAGGCTAGGAGTTAGAGACCAGACTGGCCAACACAGTGAAACCCCGTCTCTACTAAAAATACAAAAATAAGCTGGGCATGGTGGCACACGCCTGTAATTCCAGCTACTTGGGAGGCTGAGGTAGGAGAATCACTTGAACCTGGGAGGTGGAGGTTACCGTGAGCCAAGATCTCACCACTGCGCTCTAGCCTGGGCAACAGGGCGAGACTCTGTCTCAAAAAAAGAAAAAATCCAACATGCAAAGAAACAGGAAAATACACCACACAATGAGAAGGGAAGTTAGTCTGTAGAAGCAGACCCAGAAATGACACAAGGTAGTAGAATAATTGTCTACTAAGTAGACAAGGACATCAGAATGGCCATTATTAAGAAAGATAGAAGAAAACAGGAGCATGTTAAGACAAGGAATGAAAGACGTAAAAATGCCCCAGACAACTTCCAGAGACAAAAATGCAATGCCTGAGATGGAAAATGCACTGGTGGGATTAAAACCAAAATAGACATTGCAGAACAAAACGTTAGTGGACGCAAAGCCATAGCAATATAAACTATCCAAAAGGGGACAGAAAAAAATGGGGAAAATAACAGAGCACTCCTGAGTTGTGGGACAACTTCAAACAGCCTATTGTGCCTTTCACTGGAGAGCCATGGATCAGGGGCATAGCAGGGTAGAGACAACTTTTGGAAAAAATAATAGTAGGCTGGTCACAGTGGCTCACCACGGTAATCCCAGCACTTTGGGAGGCCGAAGCAGGTGGATCACCTGAGGTCAGGAGTTCAAGACCAGCCTAGCCAACATAGTAAAACCCTGTCCCTACTAAAAATACAAAAACTAGCCGGGCATGGTGGTGCATGCCTGTAATCCCAGCTACTGGGGAGGCTGAGGCAGGAGAATCACTTGAACCCAGGGGGCAGAGGTTGCAGTGAGCTGACATTGTGCCACTGCACTCCAGCCTAGATGACAAGAGCAAAACTTTGTCTCTACATAAATAAATAAAATAATGGCCATAAAATTTCCTAATTTGGTGGAAGCATAAAGCCATAGATCCAGGAAGCTCAACAAACCCAATAGAAACATGGAGAAAATTACATGAAGCACATCATCATGAAATTCCTCCAAACCAGTGAAAAAGAAAAATACTAAAAGCAGCCAGAGGATAAAAAACACTTTGTGTTTATAGGAACAAAGAATGGCAGCAAGACTTCTCATAAGAAACTGCAAGCAGACAGTGAACAACTATGGGTTGGGCACAGGACTTGAATAAACATCCAAATTTAGTTTTGACAGAAAAGAATGTCAGCCTAGAATTCTATACCCAGTGAAAATATTTTTCAAAAGTGAAGGTGAGATGAAGACTTTTGAGACATACAGAAGCTGAAAGATTTACAAAAATTGTCAAAAGCAGCTTTTTTGGCAGAGGAAAATGACACCAGATGGAAACTGCATATACACAAAGATGTGAAGAACACCTGAAGTGGCCACCGTTTGGGAAGACACAAAAGGCAGGATTTTTTTTCCTTTTTAAAAGTGACTGTAGTCCCACCTACTCAGGAGATTAAGCTGGGAGAAACACTGGATAGGGGTTCAAGGCCAGCCTAGGCCACATGGCAAGAGCCTGTCCTTAAATATGTGTATATATATAATCTCTAAAGGAAAATTGCCTAGGCCAGGTGCAGTGGCTCATACCTATAATCTGAACACTTTGGGAGGCTGAGGTAGGTGAATCACCTGAGGTCAGGAGTTTAAGAACAGCCTGGCCAACATTGTGAAACCCCATTCTAAAAAGAAAAAGAATTAGCTGGGCATGGTGGTGCACGCCTATAGTCCCAATTACTGGGGAGGCTGAGGCAGGGAAATTGCTTGAACCCAGGAGGCAGAGGTTGCAGTGAGCCGAGATTGCACCATTGCACTCCAGCCTGGGTGACAGAGAGAGACTCTATCTGAAAGAAAAGAAAAAATATTTTAAAAAGACAGTTGTCTATACAGATGCTCCTCAGTTTACAGTGGCTTACATCCAGATAAACTCATCATGAGTTGAAAATATTAAGGAGCATACTGAGTATGTATCACTTTTGTACCATCATAAAGCTGAAAAATTGTAAGTTGAACCATTGTAAGTCAGGGACCATCTGTACATAAAGAACTCCTAACACGAAACAATAAAAAAAAATTCAAAAATGGGCAAAGGACTTGAATGAACATTTATTCAAAGAATATGTAAAAACAAGCACATGAAAAGATGCTCAACATCACTGATTATCAGGGAAATGCAAATCAAAACCACAATGAGATACCACCTCACACCCATCAGAATAGCTGTTATTTGAAAACAAAACAAGTGTCAGGGAGGATGTGGAGAAATTGGAACATTTATGCACTGCTGGTGGGAATGTGAAATGGTGCAGCCAGTGCAGAAAACAGTAGGCAGTTCCTCAAAACATTAAACATAGGCCTGGCACAGTGGCTAATGCCTGCAATCCTCCTGAGACAGGAGGATCATTTGAGACAAGGAGTTTGAGACCAGCCTGGGCAACATAGTGAAACTCTGTCTCAAAAAAAAATAAAAGGAAGGCCAGGCGTGGTGGCTCACGCCTGTAATTCCAGCACTTTGGGAGGCTGAGGCGGGTGGATCACGAGGTCAGGAGATGGAGACCATCTGGCCAACATGGTGAAACCCCGTCTCTACTAAAATACAAAACATTAGCTGGGTGTGGTGGCATGTATCTGTAATCCTAGCTACTTGGGAGGCTGAGGCAGGGGAATTGTTTGAACCTAAGAGGCAGAGGTTGCAGTGAGTTGAGATTGTGCCACTGCACTCCAGCCTGGTGACACACATAGAGTCTTTCCTTTTTTCCTTATTTATAAAAAAATTAAAATTTTTTATTTTTTTTCAAAAAAAAAAAAGGAAAATAAAAACTAAACATAGAATTACTGTTTGATCCAGCAATTCCACTTATGGGTATAGACACGAAAGAATTGACAGCAGGGACATGAACAGTTATTTGTACACAGGTTTATGGCAGCATTATCCCCAGTAGCTAAAACGTAGAAACAACCCAGATGTTCACCACAGGACAAATGGATGAACAAAGTGTGGTCTATACATGCAATAAAATATTATTCAGCCTTAAAAAGAAATAAAATTCTGATATGCTACAACAAGAATGAACCTTAAAGTTATTATAGCTGAGTGAAATAACCCAGACATAAAAAGACAAACATTGTATGATCCCACTTATATGAAATCCCCAGAAGACTGGGGAGCTTCATTCATTTATTCAAAATGTATTTATTCTAAATGCAACATGGTATCCTGGATTGTATGTGTATACTGGAATAGAAAAAGAACATCAGTGGGAAAACTGGTGAAATCCAAAAAGTAAGCTGATAAAGTGAGACAATCAACAATACTCATTTAATCCAGAAAGAGGGAGAAAGGAAAGGGGGAGCAAAGAACAAATGGGACATATAGAAAAAGAGCAAGATAGTATATTTAAGCTCAACCATATCAATAGTTACATTAAATATAAATGGTCTAGACACCTTAATTAAAGAGCAGTGATTGTTAGATTTTTAAAAAATAACTAAAAAAAAAAAAAAGCAAAACCAAACCACATGCTCTTAGCCCCTTCTGTGGCTCTCTCCCAGACTTGCTAGAAGCAAAAGGATGAAAGTATTATCTATTGTATGATAAATTCAGTCTTTGAGCAGATTCCCTGGAAGTGACATCTTCTGGGAAGGCAGGCCCAGCCCTTATCCTGACATTCCCCAGTAGCACTCTCAGCTCCTGGGACCTTGTCTACGACACTGAGGCTCCCAGACCCAGGGACGTGCAGAGCCTTCAGTTACCCACACCTGCTGAAACATGGGAAGTCTAAGTGCTAAAGTTATTTTTATTATCTTCCTCCTTCCAGGTGGGCCCTGTGCTGGAAAGAGCATGACGTGGGTATGTGAGTAACAGACTCACCCATCCACATCCGAAGAATGGACTCAGACCCAGAGAACAGGAAAGTGAGACTTATTATTAATGACAGCCTTGTAACATCGGGTGCCTAATGGGCAGGCACACCCAACATAGTTTCAACAAGCAACTGTTGGGAAGGGGCTTTAGGTGTTTTCTTTAGAGTTGTCCTGCTGCATTTTGTTGCAGCCCACAATGCATTGCAATCCTGGCTAGCTCAGGGGCTTTTAAAATATTTGACTTATGACCTAAATAGCTGGGCAGGCTGATAAGAACAGACAAAGCGAGCTGTTTTGCAGGCTAGTAAACTTTCATCTTAGACTAAACGTTTTTGGTTTGGGTGAGGGCAACTAAGGGGCAGGGGGTGGGGTCGACAAGCAGGCTTCGGCTATCCAAGCAGGGGCCTAGTATATCCTGTTTCTTCTGTAGTTTGCTGACCTAAACCGATTTAAGGCACTTTGTCTTGGAAGTGCATCACTTTATGCACTATTTCCTTTGAGGTACCTCAGACACAGGAAGGAGAGCTTCCTCTTGGTTGGCATATTCCTGTTATAACTTCTTTAGACAACCCTCACTGTTCAGGGCTGCAGGGTCCTGCTCTGACCATGCTAGCCAGAACTGGACTGCCCCTTTTAAGGGCACCTGCACCTCCTGGAATTTCCTTCTGAGATGTGCATCCCACCCCTCATTGACAGCCCCACCCCCACCCCTGGGATGCTGCCTTCTGCTGTAGATGGTTCCATCCGGAAGTAGCCAGGAAGGTCAGGAAATCCTCAGAGGGTCTTCGTTTTTTCGTTCATTTTGTTAGGGCCTCACCCACTTGTAACAGTGATATCACATGGGGTCATATTTGTGTTAATGCCCGTGACTTTGAAGCCTCTCTCTCTGAACTATAGAACTATCCCTAAGGGGCCAGTTGTGGTGGCTCACACCTTGTAATCCCAGCACTTTGGGAGGCCAAGGCAGGAGGATCGCCTGAGCCAGGAGTTCAAGACCATCCTAAGCAACATAGTGAGACCCCATCTCTACCATAAAAAAGGTAAGAAATTACCCGAAGGCAGTCCCACATTGTCAGAGGGGCCCTGCTGGGAGAAGCAGCTCATGTCCCCTCAGCCTGGCTGGCTGGGAGGCGCTGTCTCTGCTGAGCACTTCCATACTTTGGTTACTTTCAGTAACGCTTTGCTCAGTTGGAGGATAGTGGAAGGGCATTGCTGTACTCTTTGGTTTCTGAGATTCACATTATTTATAGATCTGAAATCCAGATGCCTTTACCCTCGGAGCATTATTTAGTGTCATGTTTCGTGTATTTTCTGAAAAGCGGTGTCAGTCTCGCAGCCTGTCGGTCTCGAAGCTCACCCAGAGGAGAGCTTCGGACTGCTCCGGATGTGGCTGTTTTTGGCTCCCACAGACCCAGAACATCCTCCCCAGCCTGTGCTCCCTGTGGGGCACGCTCTCCAGTGAAGTGAGGGCAGCCACGTACCCCTGGGAATGCCTTGGAGAGGGGCCAACTGCCATCACCAGGGGCCAGGCTCTGCAACCACCCACACCTACGGCAAGTCCGTCTGAGAGATGAGGAAGCTGAGGCTCCCGGGCCTGTGGCTCCCATCCCCTCTGCGGGTCACCCGACCGCCCAAAGCCTGGCAGCCAACTCGCCATGTCAGTGGCTTGGCAGTGGGCTCCTCTCCTGGCTCGGGGAGCAGTTCCGGCAGGCATCCACCAGGTGGCAGCACCAGCACATTCTGTAGGCTGTTTAAGCTCAGAACTCTAGTGCTCTGGGGTAACCTGGGACCCAGCCCATCCCCTCCCCCTGCTCTCTCGAGGGTCCTGGCCCTTCTTCCACTGTGGCCCAGGCCATGATCTTGGCCCTAGCTCTGAGCCTTCCTGGTCGTCAGGGTCTCATTCACTGCCCCACCCAGGGGAACAGCAGCTGGGGCTGGGGGGCAGATGGCCACATAGTCCAGTGGTCTTCATGGCTGGAGTGAAGCTGCGTGGGGTCAAGGGAAGAAGAGGTGGATTCTAAGGGGGCAGGGCCAGCCAGGGCCTCCCATGTCCCCTCAGGCCAGGACTCTGAGGATGGGAGAGGCTGTCCCTGGGCACAGGACTGCAGACTCTAAGCCCACCACGAAGCCTGTCCGCAGACCTGCTGGGGCGGTGGTGCCCACAAGCGGAAAGGAAGAAAAGCAGCTGCTCTGAGGATGCTGGTTCCCTCCCGGGCTCCCACTCTCTCCCTGGCTGCGCACTCCTCCACCCAGCAAAGTGAGCCAAACTTGAAAAGCAACTTTTATTGAAGAATTTGGAGGGAAAGTTTCATATTATAATAGTAAAAATACTAAAGTTGAATGTCGTAAAAAAACGCCATGGTGCAGCAGCAGCGGCAGCGTCCGGCTGGGAGGGGCGTGGAGGGCCCAGGGACGGCCACCCCCAGAGCGAGTCAGGGCGGGCCTGGGGCAACAGCGGAAAGGTTCAGCGTCAAAAAGGTCAAGTGCTATCGAGGAGAGGTCATCTGACGGGAGGCTCCCGGTGGGACAGTCACCAAGAACCATGACACAGAAGGGGGAAGGGGGAGGGCTTTTCTGTCACCAAGATTAAAAACCCCCAAAATGCATTTGAACATGATACATAATAACAAATTGAAACCTTGCTCCTCTGTCCAACTGGGCAAACCCTGGCCCATCTCCCATCCCTGGTCCCATCCCAGGGGGCCCAGCCTCCGACATCCTCAGAGATGCAGCCCTGGTGCTGGGGGCTGCCGTGTGCCTGCCTCCTCCAGGAGAGGGTGCCGGCCAGCATGCCACAATGAGGTTGCGTCTGGTGCCGCCAGGCTGAAGTTAGGCCCAGGGCCACGGAGAGATGATAGCTGGTGACAGCCTGTGTGGCTGGCTGATGGAGTGAGGGGACCCAGCGGCAGGACCTGCCCGGCCCCCCAACCCCACATCGCGCATAGCTGCAGAATTGGGTTGTTCTGAGGGCTGAGGCCACATCCAGAGAACAAATCAGATGAAATAAATTAAAACCCGCAGGACAATTTTCTTGCCTACCCCGCTGCGAGGTAGGGTGCCGCCCACAGCACAAAATGTCTTTCCATCTGGGCTCAGGAGGACGGCATGGCTTCTCTCAAATGCACCGAGAAATAAAAACCATTAAATACAGATCATGGCACGAGGCTGCCTCTCCATCCCTCTAAACTGTGGTCCAGCGCAGTCCACCGCCGCCTCAGGCCGTGCCGCTGGCCGAGTAGGAGAACTGGGGGAAGTGGGGCCTGCGCTCGCTGTCCACACACTCCATGCTGTCGTCTGTGGGTGTAGACAGCTCAGACTCGGGCACCCCACCTCCCCGCACCTCCACCTGCCCACAGCTCCAGTAGGGAGCCAACCTCTCAAAGCACGGCCAGCACACTGCCATGCCACCAGCAAACTGAGGCCCCACAGCTCGACCAGGGGACCTGGGCCTCAGAGCATTGCCTCCCACCCTGATCACTGGCGCCCTCCAAAGGAATCTTTTAAAAATTTAGATGTTAAAACATCTGAAGCCAAAAAAGCAGAACAGTGCAGGCCTCTCTGAGTGTGGAGAGAACGGGGAGTGGGCGGGGCAGGCACAGTGGCCCCTCACCTTGGTCAGGTGGTGTGATGGTGATCATCTGGGCTGTGAACTCCTCATCAAAATACCTGGTGTCAGTCTCCGATGTGACCTGGGGCTTGAAGGGTGGGCTGAGCTGCAGAGGTGGGCAGATGGGACCGTCATGAGCTTTGCCCCCCACTCCCAGCATCCCCAGCCCCTCACGGCGGCCGGATAGCCAGGGGGGCTTCAGGCAGCACGGATGTCAGAAGCGACAAGCCACCAGCCCCCCCCACCGACAGAGGCAGCTCGGGAAGGGAGGAGCATAAGGGGTGTGGGAGCATGGAGACACCCTCATCAGCTGAGTCGCCAAGCTGCCCTCACAGCAGCCCCAGCAGGCAACAGGAGGTGGTGCAGCCCAGCTGTCAGACACCCTCTCTGCTGCCAGTAGAAGGCGATGACTTTATTTCCTTTTCCTTTCTGGTTTTCTTATTGGTCTTCTTGTAAATTGGGAAAGAGAGAGACTGTGGAACAAGGTGCAGAGGGCAAGCCCGCCCTGCCTCCTTCATGGCTCAGGGACCACAGGATGGCAGCCTGCTGGCATCTGGCTGCAGAGAGGACTCCTGATGACCCAGGATCAAGAGTAACTAAGAATTTACGTGCACATGTGAGGAGCTGCCAGAGAGCCCTCAGGTCCCGCAGTCAAGGACCCCTTCTAGCACTGCCCCATCCCAGAGTCTGGCCTGGACACAGCACTGTCCACTGTCAATTAGCAAAGCCTCTGGGCAAGGAGGGGCAGAGGCTGAGCACTGCCCAGGCACCCCCATACCCTTGGAGGGCAGGGCAGGGCAGGGCTGGAGGATGGCAGGCCTCAGGACAGGAACTGGGACCAGGGCCGGGGCACCGTGTTGATGGGAGGACAGGTACCCAGCTGGGTCCCAGTGCAGCCAGCTGCACGTGGCCTAGGACAGGCATTCAGGGAGGGGCAGGCTGGGAAGTGGTCAGAAGCACACCTGGCGACGGCACCCAGCACCCAGAGTGCAGGCTTCTGAACCCAGCTGCAGACCCATCAGCCAAGATGAGGGCTGGGGTCCCTGAAAAATGAGCCCCCAAGATGGCAACTCAGGCAGAAAGAGCTCCCTCCCTCCAGGGTGGACTCCCCCATGTGCCAGAGCTGTCCCTGCACAGCCAGAGTAGGGCTGGGCTCTCCTTGCAGCAGAAGGGACTGAGGTCAGACAATAGGAGGAACTGGTGGAGAGCAAGGGGCAGCACCCCTGGTCCACCGCCAGCCAGCCTTCTCTGCGCAGCCTCAGGGAATGGACTCCTAAGGCTGGCACTTGGTGTGACACACCTCCAGGGGGAGGAGGAAGTAAGAAGGACCAGGCCAGTTTCCTGATGAACTCAGCAGTGCCAGAGCCTCTGCGCACCAGGCACTGGGGTTGGTGCAGCAAGGCTGCCCAGGCTCCCAAGGTGAGGGCGTGAATGTGTGGGAGTGCCGCGAGCATGCCATGTGCATGCCATGTGCGTGTGGATACGCGGGGAGTGGCCGCACCTTCTTCTCGTACACGTGCTGCCACGCGATGCCAGCAAAGAAGCGGTGCTGCATGATCTCCTTGGCGTCCTCAGAGCCCCCACCAAGCCTGCAGGCAGGAAACAAGGCCACAGTGTTGGTACTGCCACCCCCAGGCCCCGGGCTCAGGCCCCTCCTCCTGCTGTAATGCATGGCCTGCCAGAGAGTGCTTTCCGGGGCCAGGGAGGGGAGCCAGTGGTGCAGCATCTGAGCAGCTGTGGGTAGTGAAGCACCCCAGGGCTCACAGCAGGGCAGGGGCATCCTGAGTGGGTGTGTGGGGGCTGCAGGGTTGGGGGCAGAGGCCCAAATGCCCCAGCCTGCCCAGCCACTCTGCCTGGGCCTGAGGCTTTGGGAATGAGCCCTGGCCACGAACATCAAGCTATGGCCATCAGCGTGGTCTGGGAGGTGCCAGGACCCCCTGGCGCAAGGGCAGCTGCAGACTGGGGGTGAGGGGACGGAGGCAGAGCCTGCAGCTGGGATGGGTGGCCCTCACCTCTGCTTGGGGTCCTTCTTGAGCAGCCCCGAGAGCAAAGACTTGGCCTCAGGGCCGAGTGTGCGCGGGAAGCGGATCTCCTCCATGAGGATGAGCTCAAAGAGCTTCTCGTGGTCCTGGTTGTAGAAGGGCAGGCGGCCACACATCATCTCGTACATGACCACGCCCAGCCCCCACCAGTCCACCGCACGGCCGTAGTCATTGTCCTCCAGCACCTGCACAGGTGGCAGACGGGCAGGACGGCATCAGAGGGTGTTCGGGACACTGCCGGGGGAGGTGTCGTGATGTGCTTGGGGCACCGAGAGGGCATGGCCCTGCGTGTGCTCAGGACAGGGGGACGCAGCGACGCATGTGCACACAGGTGGGGTGCACACCTCGGGGGCCAGGTACTCAGGAGTGCCGCAGAAGGTCTTCATGGTGGCACCGTCCTTGATCCCCTCCTTGCACAGCCCGAAGTCTGTGATCTTGATGTGCCCGTCCTTGTCCAGCATGAGGTTCTCCAGCTGGGGGAAAGGTGGCCTCAAGGTCAGCACCGCCAGGCCCCGAGGGCCCTGCCCCCCTCCCCCCGCCTGCCCGTGGCTGCACCTTGAGGTCCCGGTACACCACGTTCTTCTCTGAGTGCAGGTAATCCAGGGCTGACACGATCTCGGCGCCATAGAAGCGGGCCCGGTCCTCGGAGAACACACGCTCCCGGGACAGGTGGAAGAAGAGCTGCAGGAGGCGTGACCTGAGGTACAGCCGTGGCCGGGGCCTCTGCCCCCGCAGCCTGCAGGGCTGAGTTTT